AATTTACAACTCCCTCATCTTGAAGTAATCTATCTATTTCATTAATAATTTTCTTTTTAGGTTTAGAATCTCCAGGACTCGTTGAATCTACCGTACGTTTCTGCGGTTTTGTAACTCTCTTAGATTTCTTTGATGCTGTATTCAATTTCGTCTTTAAATTAACAGATTTTTTGTTTGATGTCATTTTTTGTCGCATGAGTTTTAACATTTTCCTTGGTGCAATAGGTTGTGGTCCCTTCTTGGTAAGACTTTGCTTTGGTCTTTTAACAGCTGAATTTTCAGCTTTCCGTAAAATTTTCTCTATTTTATTCGTAAATTGTTTATTTGTTACTTCCTTTGTTACTGTTTCTTTTCCTTCATTATCTGTGCTACCTGATAACACAACATTATCTGTAGCTAATTGATCTTTGTTTAATGAATTAACTTCAATTAAATTTTGTTTTGGTTCAGACTTCTTAGTTAAGGAGACTTTACCTTTGTAAACTTTTTGACGTTTCGTTATACTCTGTTCATGTTCTCTTGCCTTTTCAGTTGGCTTACGCTTCCTACCTGATCTTGACTCATCACTTCGTACATCTTGTCCAGTTATATCTTGATGTCTTTGTTCTTCTTGCGTAACTGAATGTACAACATTAGCCTCTGGAGAAGATTCATCATTTGTATTAGATTTTATATCTTCATCTATTAAATCGATATTAACAATCTCTTTTGTTTCGTTTCCATTTTCAACATTCTTATCAATGTTTTTAGATATTCTGCTGAGTCCTGATTTAAGCGGTTTTTTTCGTTTAGGTGTGCTTTTCCTTAATGGTGTTACAGGTAATTCAAGAAGTTGCTTTAATGCTAATTCACGTTCGACCGAAGGATCAAGTTTAGGAGGTGAACTAAGTTCATTATGTTCAATGTTTACTGAAGTTTTTCCCTCATCTATAAGTGTTGGTGGTTTTAAATTGGACCAATCTGGATCAACATCACCTTCTAAGATTGCTAATAGTTCCTTATTATCTGAATTTCCTTCTTTTGTAGATTGCACAGAATTATTTTCTGTATCTTTCTTATTAAAATTATCTGCAGGTTGAACAGGATGTGGTAATGGTATAAGTGCTGGCATTGAAGATATAGAACCACCAGCTAATTTGCTTGATAATCTTTGCGTTATTTTTTTCACAAAGAATATATCTGGCCCACGTGGTGCTTCGACGATTTTTTGTTTTTCTCGTAATCTTTCCTTTAATACTTCTGTTACTTCTGCAGGCGAGACTATTTGACTAGTTAAATGACGATTACGATTTTTAACTGTTGTAGCATTACATTGTACTGTCTGATGAGAAACTGAATCTTGAGTAACATTTCGTGTAGATTTACCAAGATTTTGTGATAATGAATGAGTTAATTTTTCTTGTATTATAGATGTTACAGGATTTTCTTGAGATGTTACTTCTTTCTTTTGCGTTTGTTCTTCTTCTTCTATTGTATCCTTTAAAGTTTGTTCTCTTATATTATCTACAGAAACTACAGTATTATGTGATACATCAATAATAGATTTATTGTCACTGGAACAAATTTTTTGTTCTTTTAATGATGCTGTATTATCTATGCTTTCTATATTTTTAGGATCATCCAATAAGCTTTTCAATTCGATTTCTACCGAATCTTGTACCTTAGGATTTGATTGATTTTCTTCTTCAGGATTTTCAACTCCCCAATCATCAAATATATCTTGAATAACACTTCTTTTAGATGCTGATGCTATATCTGATTCAATTATAATATCTGATTTCGCATTTATTGTACATGCAGGAAGATTAACATCATTATCTTTAATAGACACATCTTTCATTTTTGATACTTTGTCTATATTAGCATGGGTTTCACTTATTATTTCTTTCTTTATATCAATTTTCAATAAGATGTTCTGTTTTTTAGTATTGCCGTTATTTTTTTGTGAAATATTTTCATTCTCATTATCATCATTTCGTAAATTCCCTCTAATATGACATTTTTCATTTATTGTATCCTTTAATGTTGTATCCAATTCATTTTCGATTATGCTTTCAGTCTTATTTTCTGATACACATATCTCCGCATCTTTTGATTGTACAATTTCTGTCGAAATCACTTCTATTACAGAGCTGTTATCTTCTTGATGATAATTGATAAGTTCCAAATCATTACTCTTATAATCATTTTTATCATCTTCTTTATTTGTTGCGATTAAATCTTTCTCATTTATCATATCAGTTCTTTCTTCCAATACAATTGGCATTGTATTCTGCTTGCTAGAATCAGAAGGAACAGGTATGGTTTCAACCGTTACAACAACGACTTCCGTATTTTCTTCTACTAATTTATTTAGTTCTGCGTCCATAACTATTGAATTGTTTTGATTATCGTCATCCTTACTTATTTGTTTAACAGTTTCATGTAAGGAATGTTCTTTATCATTGGAGACTTGATTTAATGAATCAAGTAATTCATCGCATGGAATATTGGCACTTTCTGATTCTGTTATATCTAATATTGTACAAACAGTACTATTCTTGTTTTTCTTTGTATTATTATCTGTTAGTACCTCCTCAGATATTATTGATGATTTTGTACTATTACATTGCATAATTGATGTAAGATTAGATCCATTATCTATTTCAACCGATTTTTCGGGTAAGGCATCAATTTCTTTAACAAGTTGAATACTTTTTTCAGCACATTGATGATCAGTATTTTTCACACATGCATCCGTAATAATCGTATTTTGTGATACTTCAAACGAATCATTATAATTTTCTTTAATTGATACTTCATTACCATTTTCTAAATTATCCTGTTCCTTATCTACTGCTTGCAATTCATTTTTGAATATATTTTTGGTATCTGTCTGCACATTAGAAATATCATCAGATAACACTGTTTTACAAGTACTCTGAAGATCTTTATCAATTTTATTTTCAATATTAGTTGATACTTTCACCACGTTCTCTATATGTGGACATTCCACAAAGTTAACTATTTCCTCATTTATAATGATATCTCCATCTTGGATTTTATTAATACATTCATCTGATGTTGTATCTACTTGTTCCATTATAATGTGGAAAGGTCGTTACAGTTAAATATTACAGCATGGAGTTTCCTGTGAAAAAAAAAAGCAAAAATATTTGAATATGTGTATATATGTGTGTATAAAATACAAAATTCTGTATATAAATGTACTTGACAAATCGTTATAAGTAGAATAGAAAATATATTATAATTTTGTTATTACTAAATAAATAAAAAAAAAAAAAAAGAAAAAGAAAAGAAAACCATTTGTATATTATATTTACAACAAAATATTAGCTTCATATAAGTCAAATATTTTTCTAATAGTGAATAAATTCAAATATAATAATAAAATATTTTCAATTTATTCGTAAAAGAAAATATACGCATGCATATTAGCTTTCTTGTCATCAGAAATATTATATACAGATGCTCATAACCTTACAGGGTTGCATTTTTTGCTCACATAGAATATCAATTTGGTTTATATGTTTGAAAGGTAACGATCATATTTGATATCATTCGTCTAATAATTATTAAATTGTCACGAATGGATGGTAAATCGTTTTTCAATTATTAAAATATGTTCACCGATTCTTAGATTTAAGACTTAATTGTAATCAATCTATAGCGCGTAAAACGATGCATGGATACTTGAAAGACAGCTAATTAAAAATATTTCATTAAAGATAATAAGGTACGTTGATAATAATAAATCAAAATCAATGAAAATATTTATCGAGAAGAAAGAATAAATTTTCCCTCAGACTGCAGAAAAGTTTAATGGCAGATCGCAAACCTTACCAAGCAACGAAGATAAATACACTTTACATATTCCAGTTTATAATTACATCTCACGAATTTCCATGGAATCAATGCAATTCACAGATCTATTATCGATCGAAAAAACGTCAACAAAACTTGTATCCTTTATTTCCCTATATATGTATATATATATATATATACATAATATATACACATATACATATACATATATATATATACATATAAAAAAAAAGGAAATAGTTTTCTCGGCCTCTAAGCGTAATGTTTACAAGAACAAAATCCAAGACACGCACCACTGACGTCAAGATTCCTACTTTACTAATAAATTGGTATTAATGAGAAAAACTAATCACTTGACACTATTCATCGCTAAAATAACATTTTAATGAATAATATCACGATAAAAATATAGTAATATATAATATTTGTTAATTTATCCTAAAATGATCTTTCACGCACAATTACAATCATTAACCAATAGATAACATTGGATAACACTCAAGCGCGTAACTGTCGGATGATTTTCATTAAAAAGAACGAGCTTGAAGTTGTCGCTTAATTAATTTCAAAAATTTACAGCTATTGGATATTACCTAATGTACCGTTTGAAACATCCAATCGGTATGAACGTGTATATTTTTCTAAACGAAACAAACCAATTACGTAACTTAGATAGCAAATAATAGGAAATTTACCAGGTTATAGACGATACCATCGGTGGATTCGATAATATTTAACGAAAGTTGAATGCAATTATAAATTTTTTTTTTTTTTATATTACTTTTTTCTTTCTTTAAAAATATACATTGATAAGTGTCTTTAGAAATAACAAAAATATAAATATTTTAATGCAATGAATATTAATTTTATAAACACATTATATAATTTTGATAATGTTTAAAAACAAAAGAAGTATTAAGAAAGACTAAAAGACTGATTTAGATTAATTTTAAGAAAACTATATACATAAATAAGATTAGAATGAAAAGCAAACAAGCAGAATAAAGAATTGTTAAATGTTATTATTGATATTTATTACAGATAAGATAGAAAATACATGAAAATGTTTATTCTTATAAATGTGGACATTATATATAAATGATTCATTAAATTTGTTGAAAAAAGGAAATAAATGTATTATTTTTTAATTTGACATACAAAATAATTATATAAAAAACGATTAAATTAATGTTTACATGAAAGAAAAAAACATTTACATCATTTACATAAATAAAATCGATTATACCTATCCAACTTGTGCACTGCACAAACAGAAAGGCATAATACTTCGAAATAATTATTTATTTAATGATGTATTGTTTTATTTCGTTTAGACTTGCATTTGAATTAATATTATAATAAATCTTTCGCAATTTTGAATCTGATATTAATGCATTCCACATTTGGTCCCGCTGAAAGTAATATTAAATAAATATTAATGATGATAAAAAATTTATCTCTTCATATAACGTTAAAATTTTAAAAGATCAATACGTACCATAAATGTATTAAAATTACCACATAATATTAAACTATGTTTAGCTCTCGTTAAAGCTACACATAATCTTTGGGGATCTGATAAAAATCCAATACCATGACTTCTTACACATGACATTAATATAATATCACGTTCCTGTCCTTGAAAACTATCAACTGTATTTATTTCGACAGTAAATCTTTTTTGTATACTTTCAGATACATTTGATATTCTATATAAAAGTAAATTTATATAATAATTATATAATGTACAAATTAATATCAATGTACGAATAATGAAAAAAATATTATTAGACCTTACTTTTCATTGACTTTTTCTAAAATTAAATATTTTTGGTTATTATACGGTGTCAAAATTCCAATAGAAATATTAGTTTTTCCTTTATGTAAGTTGAAATTATTCATTATGCATAATATTATATTTGATATAAATTCAGCTTCATTTGTATTCGAAAATTTATCATTGTTTTGATTTGAATTAATATTAAAAACTCGATAACTGTACATTGGAAATGCCTGTATGTGTTCAACCTCATTTTTTAACTTGCCTCCATAGAAATATTTATTTGGAAAATAAGAAATTGCATATGTCATACGATATTGTGTTGTTAACATAATTATTGGATTATTTTTCAATTTTTGAAATGCATTTTGCACACGAGAAAATAATGATTGATCTAATCCAAATCTCTTTGCTTGCTAAACACATAATCAAAAATAATTTTATGAATTAAATTTGAACATAAAATTATAATGATTATATTAAGAATATTTTAAGTAATTTTTATATATAATAGATTATACTTGACTTATTATGGTCGCTGGTAACTGATTAGGATCTCCCACTAGAACTAATGTATTCACACCTAGTAGTAAGGGAATCAAATTTTCTGCTTCACAACTTTGAGTAGCTTCGTCCACTATGCAGACTGATATTTTTTCTTTATTTCCACTATAAGAAATAAAAGAAATAATATAAAAAATTTTTACATATGATATTGTAACTAATAATAGACAACAACAACAAAAATTAAAAAATGAAAACATAGTATAACTTTCTTTATAATTTTACTTTTCTATCCTTTAATCTTACCCAAAAATGGATTCCATTTGATTAGTATAGCATGAGGAAAGTGTACATGTTATTATATCTGCACATTCAAGGATTCTACGTTCTGCAACACGTTGGAATTTTGCCAGTTCTTTGTTATTCATTTCATTCATCTGCATAATTTTTATTAGTTAAAAAAATAAATTTCTTTAAAACATATATATATATATATAGATACATACGTATGTATATAGAAACATATATATATATATACTTACTGATTTATGATTTTCTAATAACTCATACTTTGTACTCATATCTATTAATTTCAGTTTGAGATGTTTCCTGTAAATATCATCAATATTTTGTGAATTTGCAATTTCACATTTCAATGCATTAATACGTGCTTCCAATAGTTTTTTCTGAAAAATTATTAAACTGTATAATGCATTAAAACTGTTTCATATAAAATTTATATGTATTTATCTAGATAAAATTAAATTAAATTAGATTTTACCTCTTCTTCAAAACTTTCAATTGGAATATTTTTTGATGCATAATTTGTAGTCATTCGTTTAACATCCCGTTTTCCCAATTCAGTTAAAGAAATATCTTTTACGGTTAAATGCATAGTTTCAGGTTTACCAATACGGACCATTTTAAAACGATTTTCTAAATAATATAATAAAAATGATAATTGTATATTATTTTCTTTACACTCAATATATGATTCTATGTTAACAGTATAGAAATAAATTGTTTTACGTTTAATTGTAGCTCTAATGGCAAGAAGTCTTAATACAATTTCATCAATAGCAGCATTAGATGGAGCACATACAAGAATTCGTAGAGCAGACTTACTGTTTTGATATCTATTATTACCATATAGTATCTCTGTTATAATATTTACAATAACTTTTGATTTTCCTGTTCCTGTTATATAAAAATTATAAAATTGTAAATATTTATATATCTGAATATAATATAGCTTTGTAAATATTTATATACCTGGTGGTCCTTGAATCAAACAAATTTTAGGTTCCTTTTGTATTACAGCACCTGTTACTCTACCAACAGCTTCTAATTGTTTCTGATTCAACTTATCCTGTTTTTGTCAGAATTATTTTAATTATATAATATATGTATTTATACCACTTGTATTTTTTGTAACTTTACCTTTGTTGTAAGTTGACGATTATGCACTTCTATTAAAGGTAATTGAAATGCTTCAACTTTTGGATATAAAATTAAATTTATAAGAGGAGATTGTGGAAGATATTGTATTGCTTGAATCATTCTTATATTTGAGCGTAGATATGTCACAGTTCTTATTCTTTGAATGCGGTTTATTATAAAATTCTCTTCAACATTTCTTGTCATAATAGTATATGTCAATAGTGCATATGGCCTTTTCACATATTTTTCTGTAAAAATATCAATAAATAAAAAACAGTTTAAAAATAACATCACTAAATAATGTAATATACATTATTTATGTAATATACTATTGTACATTTACCTAAATCTTTGTTGTATTCTGTAAATGATGTTATGATATTTTGATGCATAGATGTAACATAAGCAAATACTTTCTGAAAAATGTGTTTTCCTTTTTCATATTCAAAAACTACCAGATCTCCATAATTAGGATGAGCTTGTTTAGATAAGTTTTCTTTGGTAACTAATACTTGCACTATCAAAGATGATAAATGTATATTTCCAGTTGCTACGTGGATGTTTTTAAAAGATTTTTCCACTAGAGAACACATCATAGTGGGTCGCCTGTATGTGATAAATTATTGATATATTTTTACTTCTTTAATAGAAAATGATTTATTTAATTCATCATTTCATTATAGACGTACTTTGTATTCTTTTCTATCATCTCAAATTCTCTAGTAATGCCGTACCAAATTTCTAATAATAATAGAGGTTCAGCAATTTTATAATAGTCATTGTAAGATTTATAATAAGTTAACATAGGATGTAATTCATTTTCTTTAAGAATAGGTGGCATTCGCTTCAAACGTTGCTGTTCCTGTAAATAGTTCAAGGTAAATTAATGATTTACTTCATTTAATAAAGTTATACTTACTTCAAGCCAAATAGGATTCCAGAGAAAGATACGTAATAGAAATTGTTCTAACTTTGGACCATTTGTGTCAACAAATCTTTTAGAAGATAATTTATCAACCGGTATTGGGGCATCTTTACCCATAAGTTTTTTTAAAATGTTTTGAGGTTCTATTTCATATTCATGAATTTCAAGAACATTATTGAAAGAGACATTTTTTTCTTGTTTTTCTAGTTGATTGATTGTTTGTCTGTTAGGAGAACGATTTTCTTTTTGCATTTTAACATTTTTTTTAATTTTTACTTCATCTTTCAAGTCACTAGTAATAGCCTCTATGTTTTTATCTTTTGTTGTATGAATTGTTTCATCAGTTATATTTTCTATATTTTCAAGTTTATTTACTTTTGGATGTGATTCATTGATCTTATTTAATTGAGCAGAATTAACATCAGTAATACTTAAAGATTGCTCTAAATGTTTTGTAACATTATTTAATGTTTCTTTATAATTAGGTATTTTTTTTTTAATTTTTAAAGCGGATATTGAAGGTAGTACATCATCATCTTTTCTTGTATCAATATTAATAGTATTATTTTGATATTGTTTGTTTTCTAGAGATTTTTTTATTGATGGTTTGTTTAGTACCGTTTTTGATCGTATTTCATCAATTAGAAAATCTGATCGAGATTTTAATGATACTTTTGCTTTTGGTTTTGAAAAAGAAGGTTTTAATGGTCCAATCTTAGTCACTTTCTTATCTTCTGCAGCAATTTTTTTTAACTTATTTTTCCTATTTTCTACAAGTTTCTTTTTTTCTTCTTTTGAAAGAGGAAGTTTTTTGAGTTTATCAGATGGAAGATAATTTGTCAAAGCACATTTATCTTGCTTTTGTTCTTTTAAATTTAAACATTCCTCTAAATTGTCTTCAGTCTTTTTGATGTCCATATTATAAATGCTTTGTTGTCTTTTTCTTTTTCTTACAGGCATATAAGGCGCATCTATTAATTGTGGTCTTTTTCTTGTATTTAATTTTATTTCTTTGGAATGTAAGGTCTGCTTAAGTGCACGGTCATTCGTGTCATTATTAATTATGTTTTGTTTTTTATTGAGAGAATGACTAATTTTATTATTACTTTCCTGTACTTGATTAGACAAATTATCTATTTCCTTTTTTCTTGTATCAAGGGAAATATCAGGATCATGTTCTTTTACCATATCTAATTTATCACTATTTTTAAATTGTTCACTATTTTTATATTTTTTTTCAATATTTTTTTCTTCATTTTTTTTACGTTCTTTTATTTCATTGTCTTCATTAGTTCTAATATTAACACTAAGTTGATTCGAAGCATCATTTATATTTTCATTGGATTCTTTAATAGTATTTTGAATATCTTTATCAATTATCTCCGTATCTGTAGGTTCATCCTTCACAGTTTCTATTATATGGTTCTTTTTATCATTACTCAAAATTGTATCATTTAACAGTTGACTTCGCGATAATCTATGTAACCATATATTATCTTCATCTTCACTGTCAGAGATAATTATTTCTGTGTCATCAAGCCTATTAACATCTTCATCGTGATTATCGTTATATTCTCGTTTAATTTCTTTCTTAACTCCAGAATTTACATCCACATTAGAATCAAATAATTGAGAACTTGGGAATACATTTTCTTCATCGTCACTTAAATTAACTATATCAATTTCGGAAAATCTTAATTTTGGTTCTTGCTTGATTTGTTTCAATTTGATTGTTGATTCAGTATAGTTATTAGAATCTTTTATATTATTTTTTATTGTTTCTTCATCATCATCAGTTATTATTATTTCATCTTCCATTTTAATAAAATAATCACCATTATATACAATATTTATAAGACCATCTTCTGGCTTGTTTAGTGTATTTACTTTTATCGATGATTCATTTTGCTCTTTTAAATTGTCATGTACTTCATTCTGCATTTTTACATTTTCCGAATGATCCCGTTGTTGTATATCTGCATGTATACTTGTATCATCAATATCATTTATATATACTGCATTATTTGTACGGTATGTCTTTTTATTCGTACATGTATTTTTAGTTTTATCATCATCGTTTTCTTGTACTATTTCTGTATCAATATTATTAGCCAAATCGATACAGATCACTTCATCTTCTTTTGTGGATTGAAATTGATTTGTTTTATTTAAAACATCCTTCTGTATTAAAGGATTTTCTCCACTGTTTACTTCAGATAAGTTTTTATGTATACTAATATCATTCTTTCTCTGACATTTATTATCGTAATTAGTATCCAAATTTGAAGTATCTTGTTTTATCGTATTAATTTCTGCACAAGTATCTATTAATTCAATCTCTTCATTTGAATTAACTTTGTTAGTTCTATTATCCACCTTTTTATTTAACGTTTTTATTTGACAAGAATTATTTACATTTTTTGAAAGTTTAGATACTTCATCTGATGCAACTAAATCAGATGACTTGTTTACATTATGTCCAGATAAAGAATGACAGTATTTATCAGTACTTCCTGTTAATGCATTTTTGCATATAGATATCTCAGGCATTGCAATATATTTTCCATCTGTCAATGTTTGGTTTTTAACAATAAAACGTAATTTATAAATAAACATATCATTATTTGTATTATCGGCATTTGGACAACCGATTCCAATAATATCATTGTCATTCAATTTAACCATATGTCTTGCTTTTTGTTTAATTTCATTTACAAATAGACCATTGGAACTTCCTAAATCTATAACATATATTTCATGATCATTACGGAAAAAACTACAGTGTTGACGAGATACTGTAAGACTAATACACTGTATTTGATTTTCTTTTCCTCTCCCACAAGTATACTGAAAGACAATTAAAAGAATAAGAAATATAATAATAATTAATAATATGTATATTAGAATTAATTATAAAAACTGTAAATATCTTTACTGTTTTTCCTGGTTCATCTAAAATGATAGTGCCTGGGAAATGAATTCTTTCCAATAAAAAATTATGGCACGTATTAGAAGTCATTATATCAGTGAGAACAATAAATTTACATTTAAATAGGTATACATAAGTCACAGAAAAGTATATACATTTTATTTCAAAGGCATTTGAAAAATTTCACGATGTCAATTTTTATAAATAAACATTGAATCCGTAAAGACGCACTTTAATCCGTAAAGAAGACTTTTAAGGTTACAATCCTTGGTGATTTTATATTTATAACCAGATTGACTTTTTGTTAATTACAAGTTTCTTTTATATTCACAAATATATTTATTGATATATTGAATAATACACAATATTCAATATAATGTATCTGTATTTATGTAAATCGAAATTAATTTCAATAATATTTTCTATTAATAAATCAGCCGATGAAAAAGTTCAATCATTGTTGGCAATATCCACTAGGTAAAGTATCCATAATTTCGTGTCTACGCGCATAAACGCCCAAATAAGCAAAGTGAGCATGCGTAACTGAAAGCGCAAAAACTGAATTGAAAAGTAAACAATACTCTCCTATTATTTGATAGTTTATATTCAAATATAATTAGCAATATGTATATATATATATATATATATATATATATATATATATGTATAGTAATATTGTGACGTAGCTATTTAACGAAAATAAAGATACGTTACAGAGTTAGGTACGATGAAAGTGAAAAGGCGATAAGTACATAGAAGAACGTTATCCCATAAATATTAAAATTCTTTAAAAATTGAATAAACCTTTTCTAAATTGAATTAAGTACTACGCAAAAGGGTGTTGAGTTTTGATAAAGAAATTAATTTGTACTATATAAGGTATGCATATATATATACATAAGATCTACATCCTACTTTTATATTAACAAAAGGACCTGCTTTATTATTTCAAAAGATTCAATTTTAATTTCTGTTATTTTATGTGAATTAAATTTCTTTGAAAATAATTATATAACAACATGAAGATAATACTATGAAAAATTGTTAACAAAAAAAAAATATATATATATATAAATTTATTGGAAATTTTTCTTATAGATTCTTCTTCATTTCTACGTACGGTTTGTTGCTGTGTATTATGCATAAGAGCAATTAAAAAAATTAGTTAATATAAACGATGGATAAATATACCAAACTGAATACCACTTCTTTATCTCATATATGGAAAATAACTTCTATTGAATATTTTTTTAATTTATCAGAACGATTATTATCGCCTATATTTACAGAAAAGTATAAAAAAGTACATATTTGTTATCAAATAAGTTTACAAAGTATTCTGGACTTTTATCACTGTCCAAAATGTTTTAAAATTACTTGCAAGGACATACAAATTGGTCTAATATTTTCTAAATATTCACCACCTGATATAGTTTTGAATGTCAAATACAAAATAAGAGGATGTAAAAAGAAAGTAACTGTATCGGATATCATTACAAACAAACTATATGGATTACAAACATTTAACATTTGTAAAAATTGTGAAACAGACATAAATTTGAAATGTTCGATAAGTTATAGCACACTTTCAGCAAAATTCATTTATGAATCGATTCCTGGTAGATATGTTCTTTTAAAATCATGGGAAGAAAATGTAACTGAGTATTTAGATATTATGTATAAAACTGGCATATTCAGTGACATGACTATTTATGTTAAAGACAAACCATTTATGATACACACTCCGATATTGTGTTATTATCCTTATTTTAAGTCATTAATAATTAAAGCCAAGAATGAAAACAGTAACAGGATAGATATATATGATGTAAATCCAGATCTATTTGATTATATGTTATGCTACATTTATACAGCGAATGAGAATACCTTAGACTCTTATGCGCGTGAACTTTTGCCAATAGCTAATAAATTTGGTATAACTAATTTGGAAGATAATTGCATAAAGATATTGCAAACGAAAATGAATGTAGATAATGTCATTGATACTTTGATTGTGGCAAACGAAATAAATTCAGATCATTTAGTCGCAGATGCTATAAAGTTTATAGTAAATTATGCAAATGATATAAAGAAAACAGAGAACTATGAAAATTTAAAACGATTTTATCCAGATTTAATGATAGAACTTTTAAATTTCCTTATGACTAAATGATTATTTTCTATTTTATTAAACGAAGTACATTGTCTTTTTTGGTATCATTTTTATATTTCTCTTTATTTTTTTATGTTTTTTATTTTTTTTATATTTTGTATATATTTGTAATCGATATAATTAAGTACATCTAATCTATATATGTATATAAATTTATCACATCATTTTTATTATATTTTTATATTTTTATAAACACATTATCCTGATAATAAATTAGCATTATAACAATTACGATAAATATTAAGTAAAGGAAGATTCAGTTTTTACTCGATAATTATTTATAAAAGATCATAATAAAACATTAGATTTATAATTAATGTCTTTCTTGTTCACAGCCCTTGCAGGAACGTTATATTTGTTTAATAAATTCTAACATTTATATAAAAATATACATAATTACGATGCTGTATATAATTTACTAATTAACTACATACACGAGATACACTATAAACAAAAATCTATAAAAAAAAAGGAAGATATCTAAATAAATACATCTTATACACATTAGAAATGATAGATACCACATGTTAATTCGTTCATGCAACGAGTTTTTTGCGTACCGTCTTATTTTACGATATGAACTTGTTATATTCATTGTATTATGGCAATAAAAAAATTTCGATAAGATATATTTGAGATTATTATTTATGAGCAAGACCAGCGTTATGCAAAACGTCGAATATTTTTTCCCGCGGTATTTTGTCCGTGTCGCGATCGATTACCTGCGAATAAATGATTCATCGAATGATGTTATTTTTTATCAGCATTTTATGTCATTCACATAGTCGAAAAGAAATTTGTATAAGAAATTATTATTCTTATGCAATTTAAATAAAAAACAAAAAAGAAAGTAAAGAAAATTTTTTCCCTATAGTTTTACCTGCATTTCTTTATCAGTGAACCACGATTCTTTCGCAAGCCCAGAAGCGATTCGTGGATTTTTATAAAAATCGTTTTTTAGGTGATACGGTAAAGTATTTTCCATTGCTGAATTCAACAGTACGGCTGGATGTGCATAGATCGTTCCTGATTGAGCAAAGAATTGTGGCGCAGCCGCGCATACCCCAGCAAATACGAGAACAAAAATGATATTCATCTCTTGATCACCTTACCTGTAAGAGAGATATTTTTTTAAAATACTTAAATAAATTTAACTCGTCAAAATATTAAATACTTTTAAAACTTCTATAATTGTATGTTTATTTATTTATTTATTTTTTTTTTACCGATTACAAACATTAAGGATACAAGTGTTAGATAAATTCCTTAGCTCGGTAATAATGTCGTCAAATTTTAATTAATAAAATCTATAAAGAAAAATATATTATTATTTATTTTATTATTTTTTATATATAAAACGTATTAATATATAAAATATATAAAATAATATATACATATATATATTAAACTTATTTATATGTACTTAGCAGTAATAATTTTATGTGTTTATATATATATATATATATATAATATATAATATATACATATTATATATAAAATTTGTTGATATTTGCTTGTTATCACAAAAATTCAACTTACCACGGTGAAACGCGATATTATAAAAATACTATAGAAAAGGATAAATGATTTAAATAAACTAATTGTTGAAAATGAGGAACCATTTAATACTTTTTGTTATCCTAGAAGATTCTACTGTGACAAGTTTAAGAACTTCTCTTAAAATTGTTGAAAGAGAGTTGTCAACTCTAACTTTGATACTAACGTATATGCTAAAAGAAAGACCGCAGAAAACGGATTAAAATTTCACCGCAACAGTCATCAAATATACTTTAAGCTTTGATTACGATCGTTATTACTATGATCTATCTCTCTGATAGGATTTAATGTCTTTAAATCGTATGGATCACCTTGAAAAGATTGAAGAACTATTTTCTTTAATTTTAATTTGAGGATTTGAATTTAAACGATTTTTTTTCTTCGTCTTTATATTTTCTTTTTTTCTTTTTATTTATTTATCTCTTAGCACATACATACATACATACATACATACATACATACATATATACATATATAAATACATACATACATACACACACACAAACACACACACATATGCGCCGCACATATACACTTTTTTCACTTTCTTGCTTACCTCTTGACCACTTAAAAATCTCTTCAAAGACGTTTTAGATATGGACGACGTTTCCCTCGTAAGTATCTAACTGAATGCACGATCCATGACGGCGTTACTTATATACGAGTTGCTCGACCAGTGCTTTCCACTCGAGCTAAGGTTACATCCGAAGACTCGTGGTCATTGCCTAGTCGTTGCTTTGGTCCTTCCATCGGCTAACTTTGTCCTTATCCTCGAGACGAGGTCATCGATCTTCAGCTAAATCAAGTCAAGGGTGACGAATACCGATCGATCGTTTCAATTGATCCAGTTAATATAGCTTCCTCTCATATGTTTATTTCTTTTTATCTTTTTTTTTATTTTAAAAAGATTTTTTTTGTCGCACAATGATCAGCCAAACAAACAACAAATTTCAAAGAATTCCTACATCTTTTTGAATGATTAATTTCCATCTGTTTATTTGTTTCTCTGAAAAGATTGCTAGATCGTTCATATCGATCGAAAGATTCTAATGTTGAAATAGGAAGAAATAATCGAGTGATAAACGTGCAACCGGATGTTACATTACATCGGTTGTTTCTATTTATCATATCGTAAAATTTATTAATCTTTGTATTTATCTTTGTATTACGCGTGGGCTTTGAACCACGTGACTTACGATCGAGTCGATTAAATTTTAGATCTATAGGATGATCTACGTACGAAGAAAATTGAATGCTCTTTGTGTTTCTTCTTTTTATTTATATTATTAACTTTGTTAATATGTATAACTTCCAACATTTTATATTTAAATAAATAATAAGTAACAAATCAATATGATTAAAATGTTTAATACATGATAATCTGATATTAATTAGAGAATTATATGATTAATAACAGAATATGATTAAAATAATTAATACATAATTATTTCATATTGTTTATTTATTTTTGTTATTTATTTTATTTATATTTATTCTTATTATTTATCGTGTTTAATATTTTCCATATATTAGATAAATAAACAATTCTTTCTATTTAACAAATATCAATTATTTTATTTAAAAATGTCTTTTTTTCTTTATTATCTTTTGTATTATTCGAAAATCTTAATACAAAGCTAAAAATAAAAGAAGCCTTGCATACACATATATATGTGTGTGTGGGTGTCTTTTGGATATTTCTCATTCTAGTTTCACTTTTTACATCAGAATATCCGAATTCCATGGGTGTATCCGGCACGCCTGTTTGTTACGATACCGATTTCGTTCGTGAACGAAAGTTACGCATTAAATCGAACGTGACCGTACGATATAATGCAAGCAAAAATTTGGTGAAAAGGAAATTCTATCATCCTTCGTGTTTATTAGGAAAACATTAGAATTCGTTGATTCTTCGTAATAACTAATCGATCATTTTGCGTCAAGCTAGTCAATCTAATTAAAAAATTCATTAATTTAAATGATCAAGTTGGAAATATCTTTTTATTTAATTAAGTTTAGATTATATGTTTAATTTTATTTTTTATTTTTTCCTTTTTTCTCACTTCCTTCATACTAGTATATTTCTCATAATTTAGATTTCCATGAAAGCTTCGCAATTTTCAACTCGTTAATCGAAGGTAAGGAGAGAATGGATATTCTCGTGGTATTCGGGTCAATGTTGCGACCTTACAGGCAGAAACTAACCGACAGAGCAGTCGCCCTTGTCAGAATTGATTCACTGATTCAGGAAGTTGTCCACATTGGTCAAGTCGTTTTTAATAATCTTCAGAAATATCATATTTCGATAAAGGATTTATATGGAGGATCTAAAAAAAAATCTAGATAATTATTTGTATTATTCAAGTGTCCTTTTAAAGCATCCCTTCTAATCGTTTATTGATGACATGATCGTTAATAAATGATCAAATCATTATAAACTTTTTTTCATTCAGAGAATTATTCAAGATTTTATTTTTAGATTTTAGGCGTCCTTCGTTCGCTTGTTCATATATTAAGATGTATATTATTTTTCATTATGAAGTAGAATGTCGTATCTTACATGATTATCTTTTAAATGTTTAATTAAATTGGATAAAGTTAGCAAATTTGATATAAGTCATGATATAAGAAAATGGCAAGGATCATAAAAGACATAAAAATTTTAATTTCTATATTTTTTATTTTCATTTGTGATAATGTGTGCATGTGCGTGTGTATGCGTGTGTGTATACACTCAACTTGTTCATTTATGAAAGTACAAAAAAGATGTAGATCATTATTAATCACAACTTTAATGGCTAGGTTTTTTATACAACAGTAAACGTCATCTCCACGGAATAGAATTTTGTAATCAGTCATAATGACAAATAGTCATTTGGAATTCTTGCAGACTTTTCGAATGAACGATCAGCCAAGATTTCCACTGGATTTATATAAGCGTATCATGATTATTTCGATAAGTTCAGAAAAAGATCGTAAAAAATATTTAAATATACGAATCTTTTTCCAAGCTTATGAAATTCGGCCGAGTTTGGATAGATTTTAATCAATGATAATACTCGTAAGCAGGTGAAATAGTTTTCTGATAAACAGGAACAGCTGCATGCGCTACAGCTGGTGCATAGGCTTTTCCGACGACTGGTACAGAACCATGAACCTGAACGTGATCCAAATGAGCAGTTTTAATTAGAGTTGGTTGCTGAATAGATACTCTTTCGAGTTTCGTTGCTGGCTCAACAACATCGACTTCTTGAAGAGTTTCGATTGGTCTGCTAACTACGACACGTCTGGTGGAGACACGTTGATCGGTTGGTTCCGCGTTATCAGGTGCTGGAGTTGCGGACAAAACGCGTGCACGTATGTGTCCTGCTTCAATGTTCTGTCTGCTGATATCTCCTGTACGATCGAATCCAACCTGGAATGATCAATGATATTTTTTCATTTGATTCATTGAAAAAAAATGTTTTCGCTCGTCTGAAGTTGATTTCCTGATGTAAACAAATGAAAGAAGTATATTAAAAATGACAGTAATTACCTCAGAAATACTACCACGTGCCGTGAGAAGCTCGATCAGTCTGTTCTGATTGGATTTATTTTCTTCAGCATTTAATCTTTGACTAGGAACAACAGATGGGGATGGATCATGAGCAATGAATGGAGAGTTTTCTTCCAATGGTGCTCCGTTTGAACGAGTGATTACTTGAGGTTGAGCTCTGGTCTAAATCAAAAAGAAGTATTCCGATAAAAATCAAAGTTAATTTAACATCTTAGAAGCGATGAAAAAAGCATTATGAATAAACACCTGAGATAGGTCAGCAGAAGAGAAGAGACGTTGTTCGTTTTGTGCAGAGTTCGCGTTACGGAATTCAGGATTGTCTACTACTACAGATTCTTCCTCAGAGATCGAAGAAGCAGTAGAAGATGCTATTGCTGGTGCTGGGGTTGAAGAGGGAATGAAGAGAGGAGCTGGGCTAACCGAATGAGTAAGTGCTGGTATTTGGATTGGTGCATGGATGGAATCATAAGCCAAAGGTTGGATAACGGCAGGTCCTTTTTGTGATTTCGATGTTGGTTCGTCAAGTTCTACCACTGCTGAACCAGCTGGCCTGATGATTACACGTTCTTCGATATCGTAGAATTGTTTCTGAATAGCCGGTCGACGTACCTATATTAAAACAATCTTATTTAAAATAATTTATTTTCTCTTTTGTATTATATTTTAGATTATTAGGATTATTAAATGAAATTTAGTTAAATCAATGATAAGTATAGCTTATTTGAAATATTTTTGTTTTATGTTTTAGATTATTAAGATTATTAATTTATAGTTAGTTTATAGTTAGACCAATGATATGTATACCCTATTTGAAACGTTTTAACTTTTATAATATTTATATTTTATTTAAAAAAAGAAAACTTATTTAAAAAAGAAAACAATTTTGTTTTCACTCTGACCTCTACTTTACGCGTGGAGACAGCAGGCTTGATGACATCAAGCTGTTTTTCAAATACAGCTGGTTGTGCTTCAATCCTGGTGACTGGAACGTGAGATACAGTTGGTACATGTTTGACATAAGGAACAGCAGCGACAGCTGGTACTTGTGCTGCAGCATATCCAACGTGATGTGCTTCAACCTTCGCTGGAATTGCAGCTTGAGCGTATTGCAAGGGTGCAGCGTACTGCAATGGAGCTCCAAAGTGTTGCTGAGTTTGATAAGCAGTTGCATAAGCAAGGGATGATTCCTCTGGGACGTTGTTAATGTATGTTACACCAGCAGGATTTAAATATGGCATCCTAATGGCCACATGACCGCAGAGACCAACTTGCAGCAATGCTGCAGCCACCAAGAATAGTTGCATTCTGAAATTCAAATCACACTCTCGATAATTATTCACTTTTTTTTCACTTTACTCTTTCCTTGAAGATCTAGACTATGATTTAGGATAATATTCTTTAGGAAAAGAATAACTTGGTAGAAAATGTTCTTTAACTTTTCTCCCAAAGATACAAGATATAGTAATTATAATATAAAATTAAATAATACTATATAATAACTATCATCAGACATATTGTTTGACAAATAAAAAATTTTCCTTCGATAACATGTTATAAAAAATATTTGAAAACAATTGCTACAATATTTTTACGTAATTTGAATATAAATGATAATAAGAAATGATCTAACGGAATTTTTTGATGAAATTATTTCAATCACCTTCCGAAATTGGCTTAGACTCAAGTCAAGTTTAAATCTTCGCTGTCTCGTGATGCACGAAGCAAGCAAAGGGTTGTAAGTGACTGTGTGCCATCGATGCTATCCAGCCGTGCTTATATGTCCACGTGGTGGTACCGATGGGCCCCTCCCAACGAAAAAAGATGAAGGCAGTTTACCAGCCCTCCCCCCTCCCCCTACCACTAGACCCCACCCCACATCTTTCACGTTTACGAGGCCCACAGGTCCAACGAGAATTGGGTCGTTTCTACTTGAAGCATATTCGTGAAACCACCTTCATCGCGATATCACGTTAGTGTCATTCTCGATGATGAATACGATCAACTTTCGTAACTTTTAATTAGTCCACGGACATTCAAAATGATCGGTACTTCTTTACGTTCCTGAAAAAAAAAAAAAAAAAAACAACGAAAAAGAAGAAAATTCATACAGGGGAAAGAAAACATTTTTCAAGCAAATCTTTTTTTTACTTTCCAACAATATTTCAAAAGTCTGAGAGTCTTTGCGGAAGATATGTTACACGATAAGAAAACATTTTTTTCAAGCAATTTTTTTTTTCTTTTTACTTTCCATCAATATTTCAACTGTCCGCATAAGCTCGTACATGAACAAGCAAACATTTTTCAAAAAATCGTCCTTTTTTATCAAGACTCATTCGTATCGCTAACTTTTCATTGCTGAGGTCGTTTATCCCTATTAATAAAACTCCTAATTAGATAACCTCTATTAATAAAACATATTCTATATTTTAAGATATTTTGTTTTATTTTTTTATTTACATAATTCACGAAAGAAGAAACGAGCCACTTTCTAATCCATCTGATTATCATTGTGGGTCGTATCACGTGACTTCAACGTTCATTAAGCAAAATTTCTCCTGAGGTGTTCCTAGGATACGAGGACTTGGCAGTTAAAAAGGGGGAAAAAAAAAAGAATAAAGAAAGGAAGAAAAAAGTAGCAGACGTCATCTGATTTTTACATATTCGAACGATTACGCCACACCTTCCCACGTCGCACCTTCTCTATTCTAGTTTAAAGATTACCAGAGAGTACGTATTGGTAACCCAATATACCAAAGAGAATTGACAACGGATCGTCTGAAAGTGAAAACTGCCAGAATTCGACTAGGTCGATGCCTTCTCTTTTGTTGATTCATTGAAATTCAACTCTCGATGGCTTTGGATGCTCGTGTAAATTTCAGAATACTAACGAAATATTCTTCATTCTTTGTCCCTAAAAAGTGAAAAGGATCCTTTTTTTTTTCATTTTCGTTCTTTTTTTTTGCTTTTGTCTAATCGTATTAAATTTTTGAATGTTTCGTTAAAAAATGTCAGTAATTCGGTTACATAATACAGAAATGAATTATAAGTATTGATATTTAATGTCTACACGTGTATCTAAATAAAAAAAAATTCTTTTTTTTTTTTCTTCTATTTAATAGATTAAATCTATGAAAATTTCATAAAAAAAATAGTGACGATTTATTTACTTCAAATTCATAACTGAATGATATATTCTTTTGTTCGTATTTATTTATATACTTACATATAAATCGGATATAAAGATTATGTAACTTATATCGATGTTATCTGAATATCAGTATATAAGCACAAATAACCTATACTCACTAATATGAAAGTAAAAACCGGTTCTTTTTATCTTTAAAATAAATTAGGTCGATTTTGTGAGCAGTGAAGCAGCCCGAAAACAAAAAGAAAAGGAAATAATGTATTATTTTCAAATATTTTTAGTATATTTGTATTCGTTAAATTGGATCGTGTCCTTGACCTTCTGACGATAGAATTTCGATTGTAATGAAACTAAATATTGAAACCACGCCTATTAAGTTGGTGAAAGGAAGAGATGTTCGCAATTGGACGAGCCTCTCTTATTCAAGTTTTTCGAGAAAAACAAAGACGAGAAAGGATCGATTGAAGTTGATCTATCGTCATTGAAAGTTCGCCAATCGAGAAATCGATCTTCACCTTGTTCGTCGTGATTGTCAGCTTTCGTAATATTTTCAAGCAATCTCTGTCTTATCTAACAATTTATCGGTGGAAGCACAAATACATAGATCTTTCAACTGAAAATAAACGATCTTGATCTTATATTTCATAAAAAAGGAGCTTGAGTAATTAATAAAGTAATTGAATATTTTCAATTTACATAATTTTCCTTCATAACCTCAAAATTCGTTTATTGGACAAATTCTATTCCTATTATTTATCACGAACTCTTTCTATATATAAGTATATAATATATAGTAATATAAGTATATAATATATAATAATATATATCGTAATAAAATCTAGAAGAGATAAGTAATACGTGAAAATTTTTGAGGTTGCGTCTGGATTGCTTTGATTGACTATACAATAAAGGACATATCGTACATAAATACATTTATTATATATATACACATACATATTTATTGGAAAGTTAAAACATTTCGTTCATCTAACGAAAATAAAATTGTAAATTCAATTGCGAATATATTTTTTATATGCATATAAGCATATTTTTTTACGTCTGGCTTATGTAGGTCGAGTTCCTTCGAAAAATTCGTTTTTATTATCCCTCATAAAAATTGTGAAGGCGATAATTTATATATTCGTGAGAAAGAAATTTAATGAAAATTGAAAAAGATTTCATTTTCATATAGGATACGGAGTTATCAAAATCGAGTTCTTGACCTTGACATTGGCTTAATGAGTTTACTTTCATAATATCACATTTTATTTCATGGAAATGTCAATCGTTTATTGATATATACGTCGTCGAGATATCTTTTTGTTTTATTCGATCGTTTGTAAGCATTATGTGTTACGAAACGATAAGTATACGAAAGATAAAGCGTTATAAATATAGTTAATATACGTAATAATATGACTTCAAGATTGCTAGAGATATCGATCAATGTAAGTTAATGGATTCCGATCACGTTATTCGAGCACGATCATTCGTGGGATGCATTTGGAAACACCAATCGGAACTTGTAATCGCGCGAAGACTTACACTTCAATTTTCGTCTCATGAAGAAATCACCTTTCACTCTCGTGCTCGCATTCGATACGAACAGTTAAATCTCTTTGCTTGCAAATTTACTTCCTTTTTTTTTTATTTTTTAGTTTTTCTACATTATTTCTTATGTTAGTTGAAATTAGAACGAATTCGGATATATTCTTTTTAATTTAACGATTTATTTTTAAGGTTAATAGAAACGAATAAAAATTATTTATTCGTATTTATATTTAATTAGTTGTATTCGTTTTTAAAGTTTATAGAAACGAAAAAAAATTGTATAAATTTTTTTTGTTTATCTTAATAACTTCTTTGTTATTATTATTTGTATTTGTTTTGAAGGTTATTAGAAAATAAAAGAAAATCTTATTCGAATTTATGTTCAGTCTTCATGATTTTATATTTTTAATATTTTTAATTACTCATTTTTAATATTTTTAATTACTCATTATTTGTTTTTTTTTAAAGTTGATAGAAATGAAAGAAAATTTTCTTAATTTCTTACGATTTGTTCTTAAATAATATCGCGACGCGGTGTGATTGTTTTATGATTACAGTAACAAAGATCTTCTCTAGGTCAAATTTAATTCGACGTTATTTGTAATTGTTCTTTTGAAATTGATGGTTCGGCTACGTAATGGAAGAAGAAGAAGAGGAAAAAGAAGAAAGAAGAAATTTAAGATTATATCATGATCAGACGATAGAAAGGAAAGAAAAAGAATTAGAAGGTACGACAACTTTCTTTTGTTTTTAATATTATTTTTAATCGACATGTTTATTGTCCTTCGATCTATTACCAAAGTACTTTCATATTAAAAATCTATTATGATTGATTACTGATCTTAATGAAGTCTCTTTTCATTAGTTATTAACATCGAAAGCGTTTTAAATCTTAGATCCATAAGAAATATTTTAGCATCCTTCGTTATTGCACTGATCTATTTCAACACACACATATATATATATATACACATGTTAGAATGTTGGATGAAATAAAATAAGAAATTATTTTTAATTAATTTAATTAATTTATTATAAGATTTTTCTTTATTCATTTAAGTAATGTGAATTAATTTAGTTTTTATTTATATTTTTTTGTAAGAAGTACATAAATTTTTTATTACATGTACATATATAAAACATATATAGAACTACATATGCTATATATATTTTTTCTTTGATATGTATGAGTGTGTGTGTGTGTAAATATATACACAGAATGTTTCTTATTGAAATTATTTAGAATTGAAATTGCTCCTAACAGAATTATAATCATTGAAAATTAACTTGAATATGAGATAAGGGAAAGAAAAAAAGGTATTTAAAGCGTTTTTTTTTGGTCCTTGGATTACATTCTTATGGGGTCATGTAAAATTAATAGTTTAGTCTAATAGTAGAACTTATAAATAGAATTATAAATGCAGCAATGCAAATAAGAAATTCTCATGGCATGTTGTAACAAGTTATTACATAGATCACTTTTACGCAAGACAAGACTTTGTATTAAATCTGCATATAAATTTTAAACAATTTGTAATGGATTTTTAAATAAACAAGTTAAATAAAATATCTCATTAAATGTCTCATTTCTTTCTTTTCTTAAAAATATTTTATATCAACTTTAAGTGGTTGTAGTTTTTATTAGGGAAGCATTTACGGACATATATTTATTAAACAACTTCAATTCTAAATGACTTCAATAACACGCCCTTAATGTTTGGATCCGGAGTCATGATATGAATTTTGATCCTTTATAGAGAAAAAAATAACACTATCATCGTCTTTTAACACATACACACACACATTTTACATTATTATTTTTTGTTTATGAAGTATCGAAATTCATTTCATGGTTGATTATCATTCGATGCGTGAAAAATAAGATCCTTTTATAGGATCGACCATCATCCTCATTCTGTCACTACTGTTCATTCTCTTTGTTATTGGCTCTTCGTCTCTTCTCGTATTTTTTTTTATATTTTTCTTTCTTTCGTTCCTTTATATGTGTGTGGTCACCGAAACCGAAAGTAAAGCAAACGCGAACGGGAAGGCTTTGTATGTAGGAGCTAAGTTAACGCCCAGAAAACTGGTTGTCCTTCGTTGTGTAATCGGTATGTTCTCGTAATACAGGATCTTCGAATTGCCGCTGTGCCCACAGCATAAAACCTCTTCTCTTTTCTTCTCCTCCTCTCTTTATTTTTTTTTCTTTCTTCCTCTTTTTTTTTTATCTTTTTTTTTTCTTTTTTTTCTTTTTTTTTTTTTGGTATTATTATTCTGCCTCGGCCTAAAAAAATATTTTTTCTTCAGTCGTATTTCGAACTAAATAAATATTCTTATGGCGTTCGTTTAATGTTAATCGCAAATGCACCGATCGCATTCATCGTTTTTCGTGAAAGTACTGTCTTTTACTGTTCTTTGAATTTTTTTATTTTTCTTTTTCTTTTTTTTTTTTCTTTTTTCTTTGTAAGAAAACGTCACCATCTCTTTGTTGTTTGATCGTATAAAGAAATTTAAATAAGTTTACGAATTTTTCACTTTTTACTTCTAATTACTTTTGTTTCTTTTTATTTTTTTATCGTTTTCTTTTAGACTCGATTCTGAATAAAAATCAAAAAAGAATCGTATATTAAATTTATATGTTTATAGAATAAAATTATATAATTTAATTATATCAATCATTAAAAGCATGTATATATAATAAGTTATTAAAAAATGTGTGTGTATGCATGTGTGTATATATATATATATATATATAGCAAATAATAAGGAATAGTGAAAAATAATTCTCAAAATGATCGAAATAAGTTTGTAAAAAACATATCCATACAACGTTGTTATATCGACGAGCATGTGAAATCGAACGAGTCATCCTTATTTCGTTCTCTTATTCTCCATAAACCGGATATTGAATATAATCCGACAACTCTCCAGTTCGTATCCTTCTTTAGAGCCGGCTTTGTCGTGTAATATACATAGTACTTACATCGAAATATGAAGCTGTTATAACTTTAAAAATCCTACTTTAAAATGCAACGACGAAACATTTCCATTCGTTGGACAAGAAATTAGTTGACGATAAATCTCTATATAGGATTTGCATGTATACATTTATATGTATATCTACACACACACACACACACATATATATATATATATATATATATATATACACGTACAAATATATATAGATTCCTCTTATATGTCTGTTTATATACTTTTTGATCTCCAATTTTTTCCTTCGTTTATATCGAACGATTATACATAAGTATCATTCTTGCGTCGAAAGTCACAGAGGCAGCATCTTCTGTTAAATCAGAGATGAGGGTAACAAGACGATCTTATCTCTTTCTCCATTACAGTACATTTATCTTTGATACAAGCTTTGAGATTACCAAATGTACTTTGCTTTATTTATGATCTTGCGAACGTTGATCGTCGATAAAAAAGATTATTAATAGCGTATTAAATAACGTGAAATCAACACTATTTCGACAAATTATTATGGACAAATTGATTTGATATCACTTAATTAAAAATAATTTAGAATAATTCAAATCGTATGTTTGTAATTTTTGTTAATTTCTTTTTCCAATAGATAATAATAATTATTAATAATTATTTTTTTAATGTTTATATATTAATTTAATTTACATGTGTATATATTAATTTTCTAAATGGATATCTATACATTTATTTACTAATTAAACAACTTCATATAATTAATATTTTTACGTTGATAATTCGTAATAATTTTTTTTCTACCTATCTATCTGTAATCATTATATAATTTGTTATTATATGTCACCTCTCTCAGGCACGTTACTTTTTTTTTTTGTCATATTTTTTCATCTGTGAAATTAAAATTATTACTCTTTTTTTTTTTGAATACCTTTTTATAGAAATTTTTTGATAATAATATTATATAATCAATTTCATTTGATTTCGTAATGAAATCAATTAGTTCAGTAACAGATAGTGTCATTGATGAGTAATGAGTTAGTGAGGCTTTTGAATTGCATCGAAAATTCGATCATTTTTAATGAATGATTTGGTCTTTCACATTATGATTGCAAGTGTTATCGTAAAAGTAAACCTTTTCTTTTTGGATCATGAATTAATACCGAGAGTATGAAAAAGAAATGTGAGAGGACAATTACGTTATCATTTCGATTGGTGGATAGAAATGAAAAAAAGAGAGAGAGAGATAAAGTATATGGATTTTTAAACATTTTTATTCGTTTAAAAAATCTAATATTTACAAAGTGAATATAAATTAATAAATCATCCGACTCAGCACCGTCAGCACACTTACCATCTACAGATATATAATAGTAATAATATTAATAATAATAATTATTATAATTATATATATAATAAAAATAATGATAATAACAGTAATCATCATCATCATCATCATTTTTGTAGATTATTTCCAAATTCGTTCAAACTTTTAGATTAGTTTTACAAGATGTCCTGTATTGGTTATATATTAACGAGTTATGATTGTTCTTTTTCATGGGGAGTAGTGGCAATATTTTATATTTTATCTATTAAATTAACATCCGTTTGAACGGAGTTAACGACAAGGAATAGTAATTGAAAGTAAAATTATTACGAAATGCTGTAACGGATAAATGTGTAAACGTATAAGCAAACAGTTTAAGAGAAAGAGTAATAATCACGCACATACACACATACGCGCATACAAAAAAAAAAGAAATAAGAAAATAAAAAGAATAAAAAAGAAAAAGAACAGGAGCTCGAAATTACAAAGAAGATAATTATCCAAAAGAGCCATTACGTTATACCAGTTGTGACCAAAAATGATGTAATCGTTATTATTATAGCGGATGATATAAAAAGAAAGTGAATTATTTGTATATAATTCCGTCATATTGTTAGAGGATTAGGGGGGGTAGAAAGATTATATGTTTATGGTGCTTCGTATGCGTATGAACGTTTAAGGAAGTGTCAAGATAGTTAAAAAAAAAAAAGAACGTATGGATACTATCGGTAATAATAAACTTCGTTCGAGAATTTTATAATTTAGACTTTTTTTTTCTTTCCTTTCTTTTTCCTCTCTAGTTCAATTAAATCATTTCGATAATTTGTATACATTTTTTTCTTTTTTTCCTAATATCATCAATTTCGATTTCGTTCCATTACCGATTTTATCCATTAACGTTGGATAAAAACAATAAGAACGAAGATAGATATACGATTTTCATTCTTGAGAACGTCTAACCAATGGTTGTTGTTTGTTTCCAAATTCTGGTTCCAAAGGTATCAGGTATGTAACTTTTTCGCTAGCCTCAGCTTCGCTACCTTGTGGCTTTAAAATTGGTCTATTCTTTCTAATTGCTTTACGACCTTGAGGGATTGCATCTTCGTAGGTGATATATTCAGGCCTGCCAACTGGATTTCTTTGTTTTTTTATGTAATATCCAGCTGATGAGTTTTCTCCGATGTAAGTTTGTTGGGTAGGTTTAACGGTTTGAGGAATGGGAGTAACTGAGTAACCGGAATGGATAAGGGCTGACAGATCTTCTTGAGTTAAGGTTTGATGTCCTTTGGATGTAGGAATACGTACGACTTGGGGTCCATTGATTTGATCCTGATCGATAATTTCTTCAATCGTCAATGATTTAATTGGAGCTTTCTTTAACAGGCCCGATTGAGAAACGTAAACAGAGGATGGCGAGGCAGTTGGTATCTTTAATTTGTGAGT